ATTTTATCTTTTAGTGGTATCTAAATCTCAGATAATAAGTACATACTTAAGGATTCTTTATTTTAAATTTCAAGATTATCTTTTTTGCTATTTTAATTTTTAGAAATGTTTGAATCTTCTGCCATTGGTAAGATATTCAAAATCACTTTTTTTATAGTTTGAATTTTTTACATTTGCATACATAAACAATTTAGTCTTTTATACTAAATTTAGTGGCATCTAGTAAATCTTCAACATGTTCAGGAGATTATGCATCTGAAACTACTGGAAATGGTATATATTATAAATTCTTATTAAAATGTGCATTCTAAACTGCGGTAAATGTGAAACCAGTTTTTGTTTTGTTGTTGTAATATTTTTTATTTTGTTCTTATTACTTTATAAATGTTTATTTTTTTACTTTCTTAAATGTTTTCTAATTTATATGTCAGTTTTTACTTTATTCTCGTTACCTATTTTATTTTTTATTCTTTAGTGGCGTCTAAATCTCTGACAATAAGTATGTAAGCATTTTTATCATTTTTATTACTTGTTTCAGAAATTTGTATAATTAATTTTTTTTTTGAAGGACTAACATACAAAGACTTCAAAAAATATCGCTCCGACCACCCGGGGTCTAAAACCAACAAATCATATAAGAAATGGGTCCAGCATGAAGGGAAAGACAGACCATCTTTTAGGTGGGCTGCTGAGCTTCCAAGCAAGAGTGGTTGGCAAAAACAAGGAGGAGGAGGTGGTCATGGGCAAGGAGGTAGAGGAAGAAAAGCGGATAGGGGAAAAAAAGTTATTATCAATAATATAAACAATTATTAATAATAGTAAACATATATATATACATTAATATATATATATATATATATATATATATATATATATATATATATATATATATATATATATATATATATATATATATATATATATATGTATAAATATATATATATATATATATATATATATATATATATATATATATATATATATATATATATATATATATATATATATATATATATATATATATATATTAAAAATGGTGTTTAGTTTTTTAATTTTTTTTTTTCAATGGTTAAATCTTGCAATTTTATATTTAATTTGATAAATGATATAAGGACTTTTTTAAAAGCAATGTTACTTAAAATTATTTTTCTTTTTACAAATTTAAATATCAGAATTTCTCCTTGATTAAGCCTTAACAATTAAATAGTTCCATATGCTCAGGTTATATATATATATATATATATATATATATATATATATATATATATATATATATATATATATATATATATATATATATATATATATATATATATATATGTATATATATATATATATATATATATATATATATATATATATATATGTATATATATATATATATATATATATATATATATACAAATATATATATATATATTTATATATATATATATATATATATATATATATATATATATATATATATATATATATATATATATATATATATATATATATAGATTAGTTTAATATATTAGAAAAATATGAAAGTTATTGCATCAAATAGAAATTGGTTAAACCTGAAAAATGTGTACCCTAAAAGTCACAAAGAGCAAGTCAATGTTAGTTTAAATTATTTGTTTTAGCTATGTTTATTTTAAAAAAGAAAGCTAAAGTGCTGATAACATATTTTATGCTATTTATATATGATTTCATACAACAATATTTTATTTTGATATTTAATAATTTCTCACTGGACTTTTATTCATTTCTTATAGATATTTATAAACTTTTATTTTCAACAATTTATAACCTTTTTATAAAACACACAACTAGGGATATTTAAAATATCTTTATATTAATTTTTTGTGTGGTTTACTAGGGATATTTGAAATTTCTTTATATTTGAACTAGAGTTATTTGAAATTTCTTTATATTAATTTTTTGTGTGTTTTATTTTTTATAGATTGCTTAGATCATGACTGATCTCAGCATTTTAATACCTATTTTATAAATTTTTTTACTCTTTTAAGGTATATGCCAAAAAGTAAATCTCTTAAAAAATTTTTTTATAAATTTAATAATAATAAATAAATAATAATATATTTAATAATAATAAATAAAAAAAATAAAAAATATTTTATAAATTTTTTTACTCTTTTAAGGTATAATATGTCAAAAAGTAAATCTCTTAGAAAAATAATTTTTGGATTATTCAAGAAATATTTAGCTGATAACTTTACACTGCCATTGGGTACCAGCATTGAATTTAGCAATGGTCATATCTTTTCTATTTTTGTTTGCAATGGAGAGTTGTATAGCAAAACAATTGTCCAAGTAAATAAAGACTTAAACTGTAACATTTCTTTAAATCAAATTCAAAGTGTGGTGCATATAGCCAAAAAATGGTCAAAATGTTTTAAAAGAAAAAAGAAAAGTTGTGTTGCATTTTGCAAAGAGCCTTTTGCATGCAATAAACCATTGTCAACTTTGACACTTTCATCGCAGCCTACATCTAGTAGTTCTACTTACAATGTTTCATGTTCTTCAATTGTTGAATCACCTGAACGCATTGCTTCTCCAAATATTAATGAACTTAATTATGGTAGTGAAAATTTGAAAATGAGGCATACGTCAAGAAAAAAACTGAGTCGTATCAGAAAAAAATTAGAAAAGAGGACATCTATTTTGTCTTCGAGGTTAGCTAGAGCTAACATAGAAAACCGTAAAAAGATAGCTTTAGCAAAAGAAAAATGAATCACCCTACCTTATAAATTGAAAGTTTTCAGACAAAGTGTTTAACGAAAAGAAGTAACTATAAAAGCTTTACGAGCGGCAGTTAGAGATTTGAAAAAAAAATTACAAACACACTATTACAGCAGGCAAATTCGCAACTTTATTGCTACAAGAAAGGCATTAATAATTAAAGAGAGAAAAAAGTATAGAAACATAGCTCTTAAAAAGAATGCTGCTATTAGAACAAATTAAGACGTTATTACTAGCTTAGAAAATGATATGACCCAGATGGAGGATGGCAATATAATTAATACAGTTACATTAAATGATAAAACTTATCCATTAAAAATGAGGATGATTATTTGCAGCATGATATTGGCCAATGTCCCAACAGGTAACATTCCATATTTAGTGGGCAAAATTGGTCAATATTTAGATGTTTTGTTTTCTCATATACCTCACCGTAGTACTGTTGACAAAATGGCTCGTGAGCTTGGCAGTATTGCAGATCTACAAGTAGCAGAATGGACCATCAGTAATAGTCACCTTACTCTCGGGTTTGACGCAACAACACAAGAAGGCGTACATGTCAGCTGTATTCATTTAACATCAAAAAATAAATGCCAGGTTATCGCTATTGACCAATTACCAGGTGGGACAGCTGTTGATTATGCAAACCACATATGTAACGAAGTTGATCATGCTGCTTTAGTTTATTCAAATTTTCTCTTAAAACCCTTTGAAGAATGTCGTCGTTTGATCATCTCAAATATATCAAATACAATGTCAGATAGGGTTTCGGTTAACCATCTGACAATTAAAAAAATTGGCGAAATCTGGACTAAAAATCTTAATGAGTTAAACTGCCATTTGCACCCGCTTGATACAATTGCTATTTCTTGTCGTTCTGTAATAAAGTCTCTTGAATTGAAACTTGCGAACTATTTGGTTACGATTGTATGGCAGTTAAAATTATTTTGGTTATGAATAAGATGAGGTTTAAAGTCATCAAAGGCGATCCAAAAGGATTTGTAATTTTTTTAGACAATAATAATTTACCCCGAAGTATCATTCGAAGATATCGTGGAAACTGTCTACATATTCTTTTCCATACTTGTTTTATTTTTGTAAAACACTATAAAACGTTTATCGGCAATATTCTTGTATCAAATATTTTAGAACCAGTAACAACAATGTGTTCAATTGATGATCAGCTTATTGCCATGACTAAGGCTTGTCTTATTGCAATAAATGAGGTTTTGAATCGAAAGTATAAACGCTATTTTTCCATTAAAATTACAAAAACACTGCAAGAAGAGACAGTAAGTGCAAGACTTCATAATATAGACAGTGAGGAGTTAATGGGAATGTTCAGTGCGGCAAAAGGAAGATCCCCTAATGCAGCAATTGACTTCATATCTTGCAAATTAAAAACAAAAA